TTCTTTTAATAGAGTCCGAGCGAGTCTCTTAATACCCTCTTGATTACTTCCGAGGACAGCTATATCATCAGCATATCCTAGGATTTTATGTTTCATTCCAACGTGCACCCCTCCATCTACGCGTGATGTTATTCTTATTACTTTCTCTAGTGCTAAGTTGAACAGCATCGACGAGAGTCCATCTCCCTGCCTCAAACCCGTTCAAACTTCAAAGGCTTCAGATACATCTCCTTGTATTAGTACCCTGCATTTAGGATCATTTGTACACGCCTTTGTCAACCTCACTTATTTCCCGGGACTAAACACCGCACTGAACACCCAGCTCAGTCATGATCTTCCAGAGACAGTTTCTGTCAACGGAGTCATAGGCTGATTTGAAGTCGACAAATAATGCGTGTACGTCCTGATCTACTTCCCATCATTTTTCAAGCACTTGTTTCAGGATCAATATCTGATCTAGCGTACTCCTCCCTCTCCTGAATCCTGTTTGATGGTCGCCTATTATGTTTTCATAATACGGATATATCTGATTTAACAGAATATTAATCATTATTTTATAGGCGACTGGAAGAAGTGCTATGCCTCTGTAATTGCCACATTCATACATGGATCCCTTCTTAAGGATAGGACAGATCAACCGTGTGTTCAGTGCTTCTGGTATCCGTTCCTTCTCCCATATCTTCTGGATTAGATCTAACAGCTTGGCTCTGAGTTCTTCTCCCCCATCCTTGAACAATTCTGATGTTAGGTTGTCCATCCCTGGAGCCTTTCTTCTTTTGAGCCTGTCGATAGCTATTTCCACATCCAGAATATCTGGTTTTTCAACCTCAAGTGGGTCGATATCCACAGTGTAATCCATTTCTTCTTCGTTTGTGGGGTGCCCTTGGTAAAGCAGCTGCTGGAAATGTTCCTTCCAGATGCTTAGGAATATATATAAAGAGCTAACTAATGTTGTAGTAATATTTTGTCTTTGAAATAAAGATCTACTTACATTGAAAGCATATATGACTAATTGAAATGTTAAGATATTCAAGATGGTGTATTTGACAAGTTTTAAGCTTAATATCAGCTGGAGTTTCCCTACAAGGGTCTTTCTAGACACATATTTGTTCGCATGACGAAAATTTGTCATATTTATATTACAAAAAATAATAAATTAAATACTATTTTTTACCAAACAGAGAAGATAAAGGGGATTTGATCACATACCTACATTTTTACACGCCTTTTTAAACCACTATGATGCAGCTAAACTTAGATTATTTTTCAAAAAGTGTCACACCATTTGTTTTCATATAGTGAATGGTTAGGCATGATACTAGTAATAATTTTAATATTAAAAGAACTTTACTTTAATAGTAAACCAGTCCCTTTACTTTAAAATAACAAAAAGTGTAAATTTAACATAATTTGGCTATCACAAAATTAGTTCGAAAAGTATCAAAAAGTTTTCACAACCCAATGTGTAAATTCTTTTCTAAAAAAGAAGGAATTATCACGTGTTACAGGTGAAATCCAAATTAAAATGGTCAATGATTAATTTAAAAGAATATTTCTTGAAGCCAATTTTAATTCCTTTTAATTTATTCACCAATGGTTTAGAAATCCATCTGTTTAACTTAAGATTTCTTACTAACATTAATTTTAATTATATTTGTCAATACATTATATTTGTAATTCTTGAGTCTGTGTTTCCAATTATTCCAAGTTAAAATAAAATCTGTAAATGGAAAAACTGAACTTTAATCTTTAAATTGCTCATTGGACAGAATTTATGAAATAAATGATTTTTGATGAATATCGCACAGAAACAATGTACGCTTATAAAATATGTTTCTATAATCTCAATCATTATAAAACATTTAAAAAATTTAATTAATGTACATAACTTTTTCTTTTTAATTAAACTTTTTATATTGAAGTAGTTCAGTTTTTAATATATTCATAAATATGTTTAAAACATTTAAAATTTAAATATTTTAAAATAAAAAAAAATAATTACTAATAGTTAACTTATTTATGTACTCACATTTTATTTTTAATTAATTTGCAGTGTATTTATTCTTTTTCACTTTTAAGTACAAAAAAGAATTTATGGATTGTAAAATACTATAAAAATTTCTAACTGTCAAAACAGGCAACACAAATTCAAGAAAAATAAAATAAATTATGAAAAATATTTTTATTTAATATCGGTGCTGGAAAATTTTATTTTGGAATAGGAGGTTAGAAACTAAAAGAAACTCAAGGCATACATCAAATCACTAAGCATGATAGTTCTCCTCTCTCCTGGAAATAAATATTACTACTACAGTTTGCAGTTGCTACAAGCCTGAGATACTTGTTAAGTTCCTTTAAACCCATCTTACACAATCAATGTAATCGAATTGATAATATTGAAGCAATATTCTTGAACATGGTACACAAATGTCAATGTAAGTCTCACAATATATCCCTCTTTATTCATAATCAAAACTGTTAAGAGCTGTTTGCGAGTAAATTGTGAAAAAGTACAAAATCAATTATATAAAGCAGAACTTTGATAAACAAAGAAGTTTCTATAGAATTGCAGTCATATACCTACCTTAAATATGTAATTTAAGTTTCCTATGACTTTTCATGTTTGGACTTGTTTAATTGAACTCAAGGGCCTTAAAAGGATTATTTCTATGGAATCTATTAAAGTTTATTTAGAATTAATTTTTTTTTCACAATCCCAATACCTTTTTCTTCTACATATTAAGTATTTACAACAGGTATATGAAAGTAACAACAGGCAGAACTTTTTACACAAACTTTTTTCTCCTTTAGTTAATTATCAAATTCTTTCATAATTTATATTTAACTATTTTTTATATCAATGATTAATGTGAAATGGTTAATTATTTCAAATTAAAAAAATTAAAGATATTTTAGAGGAAGTTGATATTGAAAATTAGCTGTTTAAATCCTGTTAAAGAACATAAAATATACATTATATTAATTACTGCTTAATAATACACTCATATATCGAGTTTAATCTAAATGGTTATAGCCGTTCTTAATAAAATCGTAAAAATTTGGTAAATCGTTGATATAAAGTACCACATCCGGTTTGCCGATTTTGACGAAAATGTTGCTTTTACTTTTCATATTTGAGCTATACTGTTCATAGACACACACATCATTCATACACACACAGAGCATTTTGTGGGACTTGGTTCTTTGGACTCAGGAGACCTCAAAACGTGTATTTCCGTTGAAAACTCAGATTAGAAAATTTTCACATTTGCAATACTTACCCTTACTAGATATTACATATATAAGTAAGTGAAAGTAAAAAGAGAAGATGCACTTTTTTCTAGAACAAAGATCTCTAAACTATGGCCCACAAGCACCTCTAGTCCGGCAGGAGAAAGTTTCTTTGAAGACATGGTAAAATTGTAAAAAATATGAAATTCCACAAACCATTAAAACACAAGGTTACTGCAACATTTATTGCATGAGTTGTTTCTCTTCAACTCTCCCACAGGACTTAGTGGGCATGTCAATATATATATATATATATATATATATATATATATATACACACCATACCACAGTATATATATATATATACATACTGTGGTATGGTTGAGAGGAGTTATAATTGATTAATATAACCCACACCACAGAAGTATCCGGAAGAGGGTTTCATGGAGTAAGCTGCACCATCAAATTTTTTTTAGGGCACATCTTGTAGGATTTTTTTAATTTTTGAGTGTGCGCATTTCAGAAGACAAAAGGAAATCATAGATTAGATCACAGGAAGTGTAATTGTATATTATCTACAATTTTTTTAAATTCTACTCTCCCTTTCACTGTTTTTGAGAGAAAATACCTTGGAGGGAAGGGAGAGGGTGGTTATGTGCTCAAACTTGGAACCCATCAAGCTTGGAAGGGCACACCTACCAACTTGTAGGTGTCCCCCATGTGTTATGGGGGACCATAACAAAACTTTAAGTTAATTTATTTCTTTTAATAATAATGCAGCAGTCAGACATAAGATGTATAGTATTATGAAGTAACAAAGAAATGAGCAGAAGTGATATATACTCAGATGGATAGACTGGAAGGATAGCAAATGTAGTTATAGCTTCGGCAGGAAACAAAGCAACCGCTATGGAAGGAAAGACTGTTCATAGCGGATAAATTAATCAAAAAGAATTAGTGTGTCCTTTAGTTCACAAGTTATTCCAATAGATTTCAATAATTCGAATTTGAGAATGGAAGACAAGAGGGAGTAAGAAGTTATTCTTATTCTGGAAGCCAACGCTTGAGGACTTTTATACTTCACTGATGATGCACATCTTCTAGAACTTCATTCTACAATGAACGATTACCAACAAGATACTGCAAGTTATCATATATACTGTATTCAGCAGAATATAAAAACAAAAATAACTTTAAATTCTTAATTATTATTGACAATTAACGACAAATCTTTTAAACATATTTAATTTTTTATATTTATTAAAATTATTAGTATTAAAATATACATATTAACTTCTATTAATTATTTAACAACTTGATTGATTTATTCATTGATATAAACTATAAAATGGATAAATCTATTTGTTCTTATAAAATGGTAGGATTTATAAAGGTTTAGTTTTATCATTTCTCAAATATAATGTTTTGGTGAATTATAAATATATTACTTATTTCAGTGTTATCATTGGCTTCAGAATTTCTATAGTCATACATCCTGGTAAATAATTAATTATTAATAAATATTAAATAAAATATTTTGTTGCAGCTTCTTCATGTATCTAATTAAATAAATTTAAGTTTGATTGCTGGCTCTCCAATTCAGGGATTATCATATACCTAGACACATTAAAGAATGATAAGTAGATAATTTTAATAAATAAATGAAACTGATGAAGGCAGATAGTGATGGGTATAGCAACATAAATATATACAACCAAACGAAAATATGGGACACTGGAAAATACTGAGATTCCAAGCAAACTACACAAGTTCAATAAAATAATCTATTCAAATTATTTACAATAATCTAACAAATATTAAAAGTTTTTTTTTACATAGATAAAGTAAAAGATGAAAATACTATGTAAAAACTAAAACACTTAGTCTAGGAAAATTAGATATTTTGTGCCATATAAATATAGCAAGTCTTAATTTACAAGAAAAGCTTAATGAAATTTAGTGATTCGTACAGACGAATGGATGTTATATTAGGAAAGTAGATAATATTAAACAGAGACAAATTTTTATCTTGGTCTTTATTGAGATCTAGACCATACATGTCGTTAATCAGCATATATGTTAGGATCAGTGGAACAGCAAAGTATAAATAAATATAAGACTATTTAAAATAAATAGTTACAAGAATCCTTTTGTAAATAAAAAGGCAATACAGACTAGGTTTTATCTTTGCTTATCGAGAGCCAACACATTTTTTTTTTCCTTTTTTTACATCTTCATTCATATATATTTATATTTTTTTTTTGTTTTTACATATGAACATAGTAGATTCATATTTCTTAAAAAAGATTATCAAAAATGTTTGATTAATACCGTATACAAAGGAAATTAAATTTTACGTTATAAGTTATATTACATCGAAATACAAAATGTCGATAATAGGAATATTTTATATAATTTTAGTTCAAGTGAATATCAGAATGTATAACATGGAATATGGGAATATGGTCAATTTCAATTTAGAAGAAAAATAGTGATTGTCTAAATCTCCAAAAAAAAAAAAAAGAAATAAAGATAAATAAAAAATAAACTAAAAAATAATTAAAAAACAAAACTACCCTAACAGACAAAAGCAATATAATAAGTTACATTGACTCATATACAAAATATCCTGCACTGTCTTAGGCATTCGGTCCTTACAGCATTTGTACAAGCTATACACATAATATATTACATTGGACCAGTTTTATAAATTCTTTTATTTATATGTAATATTACATAATTATATAAACAATAAAACATATCAATAAACAAATAACTACCTCTAATAGCGAAAACCACCATCAGTATTAATGTATACATAATTCAGAATTTCAATCAGTGCTTTATGATACATATAGCGGTTTATACTTGAGTTATACACACATCCTCCTTTTAAACATATTCAAATATTTTATCACCATCATACAATTTACACATTAGTAATACAATTAAATTCTCGATCACATTTGAAGCTTTTATCATACTAAAGATAAATAAAAGTCTAATACCTAAATTTAATTAAAATTGATAAAATATAAAGATTTTACACAACAGAGAAGGCAGTTGTTTACAATAATAGTTACAATATAATAGTGATAATATTAAAATAATATGGATTCCACCCTCTCTTGGCAGTAGCTTAACTAAACGGCCAAGTAAAACTTGGATGACTAATTACAAGGTGGGATTTCACACACAATATTCAAATACAAATTTATTTTACTTTTATATTGTAATTAATCAATTTATTTACATAAAAAATTTTCATTCATGATATATATCTTTTCCATATTTTGGATATTATATCTAATTTAAAAATTACTTTAAAAACCTCATAATTATATAACTCACAAATTTACAATTAATAAAAATTCGAACACATTTTTGGGATTGTAAAAATTGAAAAGGAGCAGGGAAACATGTTGGCACAGCGATGAGAAGGCACTCGGCACTCTTTAGCATATTCTCTCTCTCTTTCTCTTACTCTCTCTCTCTCAAAGGATCAGCTGAGGAACAGGTAGACGAGAGGAATAACAGGAAGAAGAGACAGAGGAAAACAAAATAAAACGAAAAAATACAAAATAATAATAAAGAAGAAACACAGCCAATTTCGATTAAAAACAACGAATAAAGTAGAACACCTCATTTGGGTCGCCTGAAGTACCTGAGAACGATATAGCCGAGAAGCCTGAATATTACGAGGAATAGGAGGAGGACGAGCGTGTTAGCCCACAGTGGAAGGCTGGCACCTTCCTGCTCCAAAATGGCTGAAACTGGAATGTAGCTTGAGTTCTTACACACTTCAAACTTAGATTGAGGAGCGCACCTGTAAAAAACATGGCATACCATTATAATTACATGGTGAAATGAATACTTAAGAAATCTATAATGAGCCTTTCAGCTGACAGAATGACTAACTCCGGTTTCAACATTGTTGAACCGCTCAATCATCATTCACAGATCAATATTTCAACACTGACTGCAATCACCTACTCTGGAATCAACATACTCACTGTTTGTACAGATGTTATAAATTTTCCAACTAGAAATATCACTAAAGTAACTTTACTAAAAAATTATGAAATTGGAATTAATCACTCTGCCATCTGAAAGGCTCATATAAATCTTAAAGTTTTAAAAGAACAAAAATAACTGGTTTTACTTATCATTTCATTAGATCTTATACAACACTAATATTACAATGGTATGGTTTAATATAATTTTTTATTTATTAAAGAAGTTTGCCCAATGCCAAGAATTAAAACATTTATGTTTAGTTACAAATCACAAATAAACTTATACTTACTGAATCTGAGCACCTTCACTGAATTCAACAATTTGCATGTTTTGGTAAGCATAATGCACCATGCTGAGATACTGCATCCACTTCAACCATGGTGGTATATTAGTTGCCAGATAACCACCAAAAAGTTGTGTAGCAAGTGTATAGAGCGCTGAGATTGTTATAGAAACCTGCATATCCATACAGCATGCACCCACAAAGAATCCGACACTCTATGAAAATAAAAATGTTTATAATAAATATAGGATAAAATAAATAATGAATATATTTGTAATAGGATAACTTCACATACCTGAGCAACTATAGTGTTAAGGAGGAGGAAGCCTAGAAGAGTGACGAAGACAGTCGTACTGTGGAGGCCCAGCATTGGGTAAGAGATGATGTGGTACACCGCAGGGAGTGTAATAGTTAGCGGCAGTTCTCCTACCATTTTGGCCAAATAGTAAGCCGACAGCCTGTACGCTCCTGACTGTCGCTCCTTGTTTATAACCTCTCTCTCCGGTGGAACTGCAACAAATTAACAAATTGCAGCTTCTAATTCGAATAATCTTTAAAAAATCATTGAACACATCTATTATACTACAAGGCTTAGAGAAAGCAAAAATAATTTTTAAAACTAAAAAAGTAAAATTTCCATCCTCTTTGATTATTAATTGTTAAAATTTCTTCACTAATTTGTCTGAATTTAAGTTTCAGGCTCTTACATCTTTAATACATAAAAATTAGACTGCTTAATCCAGATGAAATTGCAGTAATTTACAAGTATTTTTGTAATGATTTCTATAAATGACAATGACTTTTTATTTAATAACTACGTTAACAGGTACTGTAATACCATAACATAGAATTACATGAATGAGAGGGAGAGATAATAGAGGGCAGGCTTCTATAGTTGACAACTGATATTAATTGATATAATTCTTTTGGAAAAATAATAAATATACATTATTATAAGTATATAATGGTAAATAGGAAATTTACATGATGAGAGAGCACCAAAATGTGAAAAGAGCATCCAGTAAGTAGTAGAGAAAAACATCCATCCTTGTATATCATGGAGGGACTCTTCCGTACGTTGAAGCTGGAACCAAAGAAGACCTGCCATTATGGACAATCCTATCGTCTGGACCCAGTTCAGCGTCGACAACATCCGCGGCCTAGCTTCCTGGAAGTTCCGCTGGCTCAACACCTATGGCAGGCAAGACTATTCAACTAAGTTCCATAGCACAGGCAATTCAATGTTAAAATTTAATAGAATTAAATTTAAAAAATGATAGGAGTACAATCTATAGTTATATAAAGGTTATAATATTAATTTTCTGGAAATAACTCCTTAAATAACTTTACAGAGCATCATGTTTTTTTAAGAATTTGACAGTTTGAGATGAAAAATATTTTCCATCGTTCAACAAATTAATAACATACATTAGTTCTTTCAATATGAAATTTAAAAAACACTGTTTTCAGCAAAATTTTTGAAATATTATTTTCAACACTTAGTTTTTGTTTTGGGTGAAAAAAGTTATGTATTTTGCTTTCAATAGATGTATTTCTTTACATAATAAAGGAATTAAATCTTTTTTAAAAAGCAAGATGTGCAAATCTTTGGGGTTGATATTTACCTTTTTTTTTATAAATATTATATTTATAATTTTAATCTAAATGTTAATAAAAGCAAAATTTATTTATATTGCCAGATAATTTAGCAAATAATTATTAATAATTCAACTATAGTTAATATAAAGAAGGAAAGAGTCCAAGTGGCGGTCACAATCTATTTACCCCGGATGGAAACCTACAATGTCGGTCGAAATTTGGCATTCAATAAATTGTCTCCCACCAATCATCATCATCTTGATTTACCATATGGTAAATCAACTATACATAAAATAAATAATATATTATAGTTTCTATAGAGAAGAGAAAGAACAGTTATAAATAATTTTATGTTAAATAAAATAAATTAAAAATATTCAAATTATCATAATTTGTCACTCTGGTTATTATTTTCATCAAGGAACCTTTAATTAAGTAATATCATTTTGAACTTTGTGAACATGTTTTCATGAAAGACTATCTCATTTGTTTTGTTTTTTTTATAATTTGGAAACTATACATCTATTGGAGCATTCCAATATATAAAAAAAGAAAAGGAATTGGACCAATATTAGGGAATAATTCTTAGATAGTTATTTTCTCTGAAGATGTAACAAAAGTCATGTGAGATACCAAACCACACATATTTGATGAAAAAGCTATTTGAAAATAATAAACCATTGTAGATCCAATTACATAGTACTTTTTAAATATAGTTGAAATACCTTAAACTGCGTCCAGAAAGTTGTCGGCCATTGCCAACTGACATCATCATCACTACTACTGACTGATGAAGAAGCATGGCTTTGGTTGTCTAACCACAGTGTTTTCCCTTCATCTTCTTTAACTAATAAAAAAAATAAAAATTAAATATATGTACATCTATTTCTTATTTCAAAATATGTTTAAATCAAGAGAAAAAAAAAATTATAAAGCTAATATGCCTTGTGGTGTGGAATCTATTAAATTTAGAAATATAGAACTTTCCCTGAGGGCCACACTTTCTTAAAGAATAGGTTTTTCAATCCATTATAAATTTTAAAAACATTGTAACAAGATAATTAAAAATACATTTTTAAAATTAAATCAATTGATGCTGGAATGGATTTTGGACTCTTCGCCAAAATTAACTTGTCAAATTTTTTTTAATTATCAAAATAATATGTATTGTTGTTATATAAAAGCTATATAAGTATATATTCAACTTTATTTAGGTCCCCTGTTAGCAGCATAAAAATAAGGCTTACAAAAAAAAAAAAACATTTCATTTTTTCATGTTTCTCCTATATTGGTAAGTATAGAACTCTTTTTTGAACCATTTCAAAATAGGTAGAATCCTAATTTAAGTTTATAATTTATTTTGTTAATATACTAACCAGCTATGGTTGTGTAAACGTTTCCATGAGACTCGGTGGTTTCACCAAGTGCAACCGTCACGCAAACTGGATCTTGCCCGGTTTGAGTGTTTCCATTCCTTGACCACATTTCCTGCTGACAGCCACAACCACTGCCAACTTGACCTAAAAAAGGTTTTTTTTTTTCATAGAAACAATAAAATAAAAGTTAATTAAAATGATTTATTGAATCACAACCTCAAATAGGAAGTAACAGTTGCATTACATTTTCCCCCATATTTAAGTTACAATCTTTGGTTGAGAAAGTATTATAAATGAGATTTTAGACAAAAGGAAAACACTGCAACATATTACTTACCATTCTGTCATGACAGATGGCGGAGAGCACAACCTGCGAAGCTCATGCTGAGAAGTTATAAATGGACTTACCGTTAGACTGGTGGATCTGAGTTTCGTGATAATTATTGAGGAATTTATCACAGATGGTGGGGTTGAAATAGTCAGGTAGGAGTTCATGGGGGTAGTCGGCTCTCAACCTTGCTTCTCTCGATGCAGCAATGATTTTTTCTTTCATTTCTTCGCTTCCTTTTACTTGCTCGACTAAAACATTAATTTCGCATTCAATTTCTTTTTCTGACCAACTTATCATTAACTCTACTGATATTACTGATCTATATCTAGATAATTTGAGGCTGACAGAACTATAAGCAGAGATTGTTTAAAATAATAACCGAACAGAAGGGAATAATGAAGTAAATTATGATCAATTAATTAATAAAAATTTGTTTCTGCGTTAAGTTAAAAAAAAATAGGAAACATGAATTAAAGCTAAACAAATAGGTTGTTTTGTTTCACTCTAAAAAATTATTCATTCATTAAAAACAAAAATAAAATTATTAGCCAACATTATTGTCTTAAGGCATTAGGTTAGGCTCTTACACACAGAGAAAAATACAAATTTGTATAAAAATTAACAAACTACAATAATTTTTTTAATAAAAATAAAAGTGTTGGTATATTTGAATATAAATTTAAACTTTAGCTCAGTTGTAGAGAAAAAAAATATTAAAAAAGAAAAAGTAAACCTTAAAATTAGTGGACTACTTTGCATAGTTAATTTAAAATTAATGGTTCCCTTGTAAAAATATTTTAGGATAATGTAATATTAAAATGTTCCTTTGTAATGTTAATTTAAATAAAAATAAATAATTATACATTGTTACTGTGTAGTTATTTATTCATTCATTTATATATATGATAAAAGTTAATGAGCTAATACCAACATTTAATTCAAAATGTAGGACATTATTAAATACTTTTGATCAATAAAAAAAAAAAATATACAGTAACTTGATACAAATCTTCTATTGCAGAAAAGTTCTTGGAAAAAAAACAACAGATTTTTCTAAGATGAGACATAAATATCAATATACGATCATTTTTATTAATAATTAACTAAAATAAAACAAAAATTAACTTACGGATGAAGTCAGCTGGGTTATAGTGTGGCATTACAGTCAGTCCAATGTTGTTGAAAAAGTCTACAACACTATTTGTGTCACCGAAATAAGCTGTTTGTCCATTACAAAGCAGGAGGAGTTTGTCGAACATATGGAATATCTGAGAAGAAGGTTGGTGTACCGTCACAACAACTGTCTTCCCTTCCTTCTCTGCGTAGCGCTTCAGGCAGCACATCAGAGAATATGCTGAATGGGAGTCCAAGCCAGACGTAGGCTCCTAAAATATTAATATATGTTGTAGATATTTGAGTTAACAAACTGTGCCAGTCAAATATGTAAAGTTCAAATATTTCATGCTGATCAGATAATATTAGTTGATATAAAAGTACTGATAAAATGTAGAAAAGAAATAATCAACAAAATAAAATGTAAAAAATGTAATTACATCGAGTAGCATGAGCGAAGGATTCGTGAGCAATTCACAGGCAATATTAGCCCTCTTTTTCTCACCTCCAGAGAGACCACGTTTCAGGTAGTCACCGATAACTGAAAAAAGAAAAATATTATGTTTAAGGAAATTAAATCAGGAAAATATAGGAGTGTATCAAATACGAGTTATATTAAGATTATTTTTCATCAAAATTTGCTAATTTATAGTAACAATTAATGAAATACTGCTATAAAAGAACAGGTGGCAGTTCACCTGGTGATAATATGTGAAAAATCCATAATAATTCAATATGAATTCATCAATTTTCATGAAAAACAAAAATGGGTTTAAATAGCTCCATACTATCACAAAATCTTTTTTTTTTTAATGATTCAACTATGAAAAACTATTATTTAACGTATATTCTTCAAGCTGACCAAATATTGTTTATGTAGAATAATTTGTGAATGAATGTATCTGATTAAGTTTTCTTAAATTTCAACATACCTTGTACTAACTAGACACTGCCTGATACATTTACTGCCAACTATAATTAATCTTTTAAGATATAGAATTTTGGTTTTTAAATAATTCTTAAAGCACTCCTTAAGCCTCACAAAAACATATTCAAGCATCTGTAATTCTACAAAATACTAATGGCCCTTTAGGAGAAAGAAAAAAAAAATTACTGCCAAGAAGGGTCAACATAGCTTCTTCACAAATACTACTAGTGAGATAATTCCCAATATTTCATGGATTAAGATTTGTTGTTTGATAACAAAATCTATGAAAGAAGCCTTATCAAGGAAGAACACGCTCCTAAATGAAAAAAAGTTCAAGGAATTTGATAAAAATTTATATTCCAGAATCTAATTATCATAATATAGAACCTATCAGATCTCTGAAAATTTCATTAAACCTAATTAACAGCAGCAGGCATAATACCCATCACTTCCATTAGATTTCAGAAAGAGATGGTGATTAAAATCATAAATAACCTGTCATTCTCTATGTCCAAAGCCTACCACATTTCACAATCATCATATTTTTAAGAATTATATTAATTTGTAATTAAAAATGAAATTCGATAGAGCTAGGTTATCTCAATACTATTCATCCATCTTCAGGCCAAATCAAACGAGCCGTTTTTAAAATGTATCTGTATCTAGGGAAATACCTTTACGAATTCATAAGTGAAAGTAGAAGATGAAATTTCATAAAATTTATGCTGGGTCGTTCTTTCACCGATCCCTAACATCCCTATTCAATTCTGGTTTAAATCGAACGAGTCTTTTTTGAAATATAGGAGAAGTAAGTAAAATACATAAAGAGTATACATTAGCGAAAGTAAAGAATGGAATTTAATAAAATGGATAAACCTCTATTTTTTTTAATAGTTCTCAATTTTCTTCCAAATTTGAGCCAAATCGTACAAGCCGTTTTTGAAACATTGGCGTGTCTAAGAAAATATATATATTAGGGCTTACTAAAGCGAAAGTATTGGATGGAATTAAATGAAATCGATTTAAGACCATCTAGGTAACCAACTTGACAATCTTTTAAAATTTCATGAAAATTAGAATAATGGTAATAGGCGTTAGGCCCGTGATCCAGTCAGACACAGAACCAAATTTGTTCTTCGATATCTAAAGGCTAAAACACGAAAGGGAATTTTGATTACGCGTAAAATATTTTTCTCCCTCATAAAGAATACCTTCGGTAATAACCAAAGAATAAGGAAACAAAAAAATATAAACTTTACTTCTTTGAAATGTAAAACAATTTTGTGTAGTAATAAATTTCACTACAACGGAGTTCATATTACAATTTCGAAATTAATAATAAATCATTTTCAGTGTTTGAAAACAATGATTTATCGCTAATATTAGTGCAAAAGGACGTATATAAAAATTGACTTTTTTTTACAGAAAAGTATAATTTATTATTTTACTTCATTCTGCTATTTTCCATAGTAGCAGACTAATTACTGCCTTTGCAGACTGTAAAATGTCAGCTTTAACACAAATAGAATAAACAAAGAAAATTCTTACAACGACCTTTTGCACTAACATTAGCGATATTCGCTAATACAGATAGCAATCAGACGAAGGAGACAGACTAAAAGCAGGCAAGGTATCTGGCAAGGTATGGCAGTAACAAGCAGTGAGGGTTCCCGGGTGCATTAACCTTAACTATGGTTACACAATACTTTCTGAAGGGCCTTATGCAAGAGCATTGTAATGTTTAGAATTTAGTTCAAACTCTATCATTCTCCTCCTGAATAAGAAATATCTAGGATTGTTTACAACTCAGGAAGATCCATCTGAAGAGAGTACTTACTCGTGTCTTGACAATTTCCGAGGTCCAAGACGTCGATGATGTGGTCCACGTACTGCATCTTCTGGGAGTGCGAGAGGGAATCTGGCAGTCTTAACAGGGCGGCGTACTGCAAACATATATATATATATATTTTTAATATATAGAATATACAAAGAAATAAACTAGTACAAAACACTGACAGATCCACATGGGAGGGGGGTGTAAGAAAAGAATATTTTAAATATCAAAATAATCTAATATTGTATGCATAACATTTATATTCAAATGAAAACAAGATTTCTTATATACTAAAATAAATAGTTTTTTCTTTTCTATTTTAAAACTCCTTCCTCCTAAATGGAAACACGAAAAAATCCCACAAAATCCAGATAAACAGTTAAATGATGTCAGTAATTGTATCAATTAACCGTTAACAGTGGAATGGATTTCACATGAAACAATAGAATTCTTGTTTTCATTGGAGTTAATAATTATATTATAGAGCCTGATACATGTTTTAGGTCATTCCCAAAAATACAATTTCTGAATCCATTCCTGACAACATAGTGGACTATTTGTAAGCAATTTATATACACAGAACTGTATTATTACAATTATTTTAAATTTTTCGAAAAGTGCTTATAGTAAAAATTAAAAAATATATCATAAATTATATTAGCTGAAACTGGAGAGCTGCTTGATCAAATCCTACAATAAAGAATAATCAAAATATGTACACTAACACTTGATCTCCAAAATTCCTTAGTTATTGTTATAGTTTACAGGAATTTAGTATTTTTTTATACTCCAAAACTTATTCTCAACATGAAATAAAATCCAATAAACCCAAGTATAATTCAAACCTGCTTCTAATACGAGAATTGCGTGTTATCGTAACACTTACAGCTTGGAAAAAGTTCTCCAAAAGAAGATATTTATTAAAACAGCCCAAATGTTTAACAAAGTTTTTTATAAAATTAAAATAACACATTAAAAAAATCGTGAAATTGCGTATTTTTGATAAGAATGATTGCACAGTTAATTCAAGGCTAATTTTTGGTGTTCTCAAAGAAAACATTTACATTTTGAAGGAAATCTTTTATCTGTAAAAGTAAGCAGATGTTCGACGCATTTAAGATTTTTTTTTGGTTTCCTTTAATTACTTAATATAATTATGCTTTTCATTATTATTTCCATTCAACACTTACGAATATCTAGTTCATCTGATATATCACATCTGAACTCACAAAGTTCTTAAAAGTATGAAGTCTGCTCTTAGGCAAGTGTTTTTGTTAAAGCTAGGACATTCCATTACATATATTATGGAATCCCAGATCTGGTAAATAAAAGAAGACACGAACCTCCAGAGTTTGCCTGAGAGTGAGGTCGGGGAAGAAGATGTCCTGCTGGAGGACGTAGCATATCCTCCTCTTCCACCGCTTGTTTAACCTCTCCCTGTTGAGCCTGATACTGCCTGCGTCCAGTTTGACCCGGCCGGCCAGGCAATTGAGCAGTGTAGTCTTTCCACAACCTGGAACAGATTTATGTTTTATGATTAAGGATCTTTCATAAGTCGATTGAGCTTACTGACTGAAACAATTAGGCAAAATATCACTACAATCTGCACGTAAAAGTTAAACTTGAATAGGTTAAAGGAAACAGCGGGATCGCCGCAGATAGCTTGGCGAAAATCTGCTTCCCGAAACAGTCTCCTGCCTATGATAAAACCCCCCTCTTACACATTAAAAAATAATTCTTGGCTGACATTATAAATGATTGGAACTAGTGTTGACCAAATGCGAGATCGAGACGAGTCTTGGTCTTGTAATCTCAGTCTTCGTCATGGTCTTCGTCTTGCGCAAGAGTCTCGCAACAGTCTTGCAGTTGCTTATTAGCTTATTACTATAGAGATATTACAGTTATTTTTTAAATAGGAGAAACCTAGATAATTCCGAATGAAAAATTAAAGGAGTTAAATGCAAAAGTATATTGGTTATACCAATTTTTAATATATAGTAACTAAGATTGCCGACTATTAGTAAGTATTTTGCCTTAATTTTTATTTAAAAATCGATTTTTTTTTACCAGTCCTGGTCTTGGTCTTGCAAAGTGCAAGACCAAGACCGATTCTGGGCAACATTAATTGGAACAGACAATGACAACAAACAACCAAAGGACGACCGTTTTATAAGTTTGTTTCAAAAGAAACACTTACCAACTATGAAAATCAGAAGTACAAACAACAAATTGGCATAGTTTTTAACTGAACACGGACACTACAAATCTTACTTAAAAAGTTTTGATCTGACAAATAATGATGTCACTGGACGGACAAACCCCTCAGACATTTCAACACATTCTGTATGATTGTCCTATTTTTTACTATTAACGGTACCATCTCATCAGAAGTATAGTTCTACAAGCCACTAGCGGATCCAGGATTTAATTCTGTGACGATTTCAACCCCAAGACTTTTTTTTCCGTATATAAATAACGGTAATTAATTTGAAAAAAAAGGAAAGAAATTAACTACCTATATCAAATGGTGTTTAAGTGATTCTTGGAGTCCTATTAAATGTAATTACACGAACAATAATACTTTAAGAGATATTTTTAAATATTTTTTTCAATAAAACATAGTTATAATTTACCATTTTGGGAGGCTTTAGACCGAAATCCCTTCACCCCCCGTAGACCCGCTTGTGCTACAAGGATATGATTGACCGTTGAAGGAAGATAAAATAAAAATATAATTAGAAAATGTGGAAATTTACTACTGAAGTTGATCTTCAACTTAACCAAGAAGGCTGATTATTAATTTTCTTATAGTTATCATTTTTATTAATTTTTTTATTTAAATCACTTTGTTTTGTTTTATGTATACTTATTTTTGTTTTCCCTTTTCTTTTTTCTCATGTGTACAATTAGGAAAATAATAACTTTACCATAATCGTACAATTTATAAATTTATAGGAATAATGTAATTTTCCCCCAAATATATACATGTATTATGTTTAATGCATGGAAAATGTAAAATTTAACAAATAAACGGCCATTGTACAGGTTTACTGTATGAGGGAAGCAGGTAAAAAAAAAAAGTTGGTTGAGCTCACAGGCGGGTTTACGGGGGGAAGGGGGCTTTGGGCTGAAGCCTTTCCCCCCCAAAATAGTAAAATATAAACACGTTTTATGGGAAAAAAAATCTAAAACAGTTATCTCTTAAAGTATTATTGTTCGTGTAATTGCATTTAAAAGGACTTTAGGAATCACTTAAACACCATTTCATATAGCTAGTCAGTTTCTTCCTTTTTTTCTAAAGTAATTATCGTTATTTTTATGAAAAAAAAGCTTTCAGGCTGAAACTCCCACAAAATTAAATCCTGGATTCGCTAGTGGTTGAGCTAAATACATTACTAAATAAATGTAGGATTATGACGAAACATGTCCGAAGTGATCTAAAGTTGTCTTGAAACTGTCACGGCTCTAGATCGTCAAGGTTGATTATAAGAAGAGACCCACATGTATTATAATCAGTAGCAAAGATCGAATACATAATTTAAACATATTTTCATATTTTAATTTAAAGAAAATATAAATATGAATTAGTTTTGATATTAATATTCTTAGAATATTGTCTATTCGAAATTTCCTCCGAAGATATACTTCTATATGTTAATTGAATCTTTTATAGGACGGACAAGGTTCGAGGAGATGGTTATCTAGCCTTGAGTCTTGGGCTAGGAACAAGATCCCACGACTGCTCTTAGCATTGGAAGGGTCATCTTCCCAAAATATCAAGGTCAACTTTTGTAGGAAGAAGTGGAATATCAAAGTAGGGTATAGCCATCGCTTTGTTAATAAATTAATTCAATTATTTTTTAAAATATGAGTTTCCCGCGCGACTTTTTTCACTGCTTGAAAAGTACAAAATAAAAGTTGTTTAGGTATAAATTCGTTAAAGTCCGACAAAACTTTCTCGTTATAGCTTTTTAGACACATCATCAGAGATGCCCAGAAGGGGGTTTTATCGAGCACGTTGTGGCATCAAACTTTTTGAGGGACGCGTATTTTGAGTGTTTTTTTTTTGGATTGTTGAGGGGGGACACATTACAACGTGGTCATGAATTTCCGAAATAAAAAAGTTTTATGATAAGGGGCAAGGAGGAAACATGGAACAGACAGCAGTAAGTGTAATGGTGTATTATTTACGATTTTTCTAATTCCATTTAATCTTCATATGTTTTTAAGAAAAGATGAGCAACAAAATATCTTGGTAGGTAGGAGAGAGGGGAGTTGGGCAGCTCTGACTATCATTACCTTTCAAGCGAGTAAAAATATTAGAGTGCTGATACAAACTTTATTTATAACTTTATATTTGCAAAGTATTTTTTTCTAACGTGGTTAAATACGCCATAATTTTATTTTTGCTTTGTATCGAAGTTCATTATCTTTGAAATGATTACATATACAGTTTAACATAAAATATATAATTTTTGAGTTAGTTGCTAATATTTTTCATTTCTTTTTAAATTTTTATTTTATTTATTTTTTCAGAAATATAGTACATAAGAAAAGCATAAAAGCTTTAAGGGAAATACTCAGCCGTTTTAGGGCTACAATACAGTTATATGATATTTAATAGTATAGTCTATTTTATGATTTGCGCACAGAGAGCTGATACAGATTTAGAAAACAGGTCTCATGAACCGAAATGCTAAAAAAAAAAATGTTCAACACTCGTTCAGAACGAAAATGCGTTCTTTAGGAATTAGGAGGAACGCATAGATTCATTCAAAACTGCACATAGAAAATTTTAACTCATTTCAATATCGTCCTTACCCTTGGAGTAAGGGAAGTAAAAGTTATTTAAAAAAAAAACAATTATATTATTACTTCAGAGAAACTACCAATTTTATAATTAGAATAGAAGGCTCCAGAACCTTCTTCTCTTCAGAAGTTACTGAGGGTGCGGGAAATCTACTGGAAAATCAGTCGGGGTTGTGTGGGCGTGGAGCTGATAGTGGAAGGATTGGTGTGTATTTAGGGCCAAATCTTGGTCCATTTACTTCTTGGGCGATTCTGATAAAATCATAATAAGAAACTGTGAAGATTTTGAAAAGGATCGGATAGGAGAAGACTTTGATGGCTTAATGGAGCAACAAGAATGGACATATGTTCAAATAGGCATGTGATCTATCTATGAGATTTTTTAAAATAAATTATTTTCTACAGTTTATTTTTAGAAAATACCAATTAGCCTACATTCATGAATGTTTGGCATGTCCTTAACATCTCAGGCCAGCGAATCTTTCAAAACCTAATTAAGTTTTTGTTTTAACATGACTATTAAAATCATGATTATTATATTCCTACCACTAACGGATCCAGAAATTAATTTTGGGGGGAGGGGAAGGCTTCAGCCCGAAAGATTATTTTTGGATGTATATATTACGATAGTTACTTGAATGAAACTAAGTACCTAAATGAACTGGTCTTCAAGTCCTATTAAATGTTATAAGAGGAACAATATTACTTTTAGAGATAATTTTTTTTTATAAAACATGGTTATATTTTATCATTTTGAGGAGGGGGGAGGTCAGCACGAAAGCCACCTCCCCTCCCCCGTTCACTCGCCTCTGATTCCTACCAACAGTGTCTTCAATTTGTAACAAGTATCGAGAAGGAACGGAGAAAGCTTTCGTACACAAAATTTATGTAAGACCCTTGTTATTGTGTTTATATAATGTCACCTTTATGTAAGCCCTGATTGTGTTGAAGCGTTATGGAGAACCAATTGAATCTAAGGATGGAATTCACTAAAACAAGCCATTACAGAAACGAATTTTCACTCTTCCGACCTTGCAATAGATTTGATGTATCGAAAATATTTCAATTTATTTCATAATAATCCTCTCTAATAATAAAATCAAAATAAAATAAAAGATTTGCAAATGATTTTTTTTGTTGTTGTACAAATTACTTTATAAAATAGGGATAAGCAGAAGTACTATGAAATGATTTCGAATTTTAATTCTCTAAACTCTACAAACTAACCTCAATCCATCTCCCAACAGTTTCCCAACGTATGATGGCCCTTTACCAACGATTTTATACAAATTCAAACGGAAATAATAACAGATTCATCAAAAACGTGGCTACAACTAATATATACCAGAACATGAAGAGGAGACTAAAAAGTCATTGGATGAGAGACCTTCCTTAAACAACCGAAGTAATTGAAACAATGCAGGGAAGTTCTGTCCTTCCTCATGCCTGACATGATATTGTTTCTTGTATTTCAGCAAATTTGCTGATTTTCCCTAGCGATTTATTTTTCATGAATCCTCTTTTTCTACTTTCTTTCCGATTCTTTCTAGCTATCCTTCTAGATAAATCACTTTATGCCTCGCCCTCTCCAGTACCCGGTATATTGTATTTATGAAACGCAAGAGGTAGGTATATATATATATATATATATATATATATATATATATATATATATATATATATATATATATATATATATATATATATGTATATATATTAACTCCCCAGTGACTCACGAATGAAGTGCTTCAAAGCCGAAGAAGTGGAAGAAGCAGAGATAAGATGAGAACATCGACCCTAAGAGGAAATCCCGGGTTAGCGATGGGGTGTCAGGGCCGATTGGCTAATTGGCTGAATTAAAGCCCTAACTGCTCTCAACTCGCTCTCCATTGAGCTAGGACCCCCCGCCCTCTTCCCATAGACCACTCTTATATCACCTCCAACATTCTCCGTCCACTCCTGGGATATCTGGAAGGATAGCTGGAGAAAATGGAGAATAAATTAGCAAAGGAGAATTTACGAAATATAAATCACAAGAAAATCGTGTTTTCATAAGAGATACAAAATTTCTGAAAATTTGGATGTTCTGGATGAAAACACATTCAACACGACAGAAATAGTAAATTTTCAATACTACTACTTTTTATTGATGAAATTTGCAGCTGTATTAAAATAAAATAAAAGAAGTAACTGTGATCAAATAAATATAACGTTATGAATGGCTGTAAAGAAACTAATTTTTGGTAGCATTCCAACAAACATTCTAACTAATAAGATCCCGAGGCCATCTTCTTTTCACCTTGGAGAGTTATCAGGAATCGAAGAGGAAGCAAGATTAGAAATGAGAGGGTCCGGATAGTTTTGAAGTTTATTATGGAAAAATAGGTATCTGGAATGGGCCAAATAGGAAACATATAAAATATTAAAGTCATTATGGATAGTTTTAATTGTTACAAAGTGAGCATTCAGGATTCGACGAAGAATCTTGGATATGAGAGAAATTCAATGGTTTAGTGGAACTCCAAAGTTCAACTCCATAATTCCAAATATGCCTCATTATAGTAAACTTCAATAAAGGAATATTCAAATCGGTTTAACTGTACCAGCTGATGGTCAAATTGAAATAAATTACGAATTTCATAGCGAAGTATAATACAAAACGGAATCGATAACTAAAACATAGCAAAGTGCATTGAAAAAAGATACATTTTTTTAAAACAAATTATAAAAGATTTAAAAGACATTATAGTATTAAAAAAATAAAAATTTAGTACAGTAAAAAAAAACACTACCTCCAGTGAAATGCAAAAGTACTTGGCATCAAAATATGTAATAAATAAAATTAACTATTTTATTGTCAAAAGAAAAATTCACTTATGTACCTAACAATTTTTCAGATATATAGCGAGATGTAATAAATCGAATTTTCACGCCTAGGTAGGAGACCATGGATTATTTTATTGTGAGTTCAAAACGTCTTCTACTTTCTATCATTCGTGGGAGTATATTATATAGATCCAACTTTCTTGACATGACGTCACCCTTTTCATCCAGATATAGAAAATCGCTTTGGACATGGGCGTATCCTGGATAGCAAAAGCTGACGACAAGCCTAGATAAAAATAGCTGAGCCCTCCTTTCCAAGAGATAACTCCAGACTTTCTGTTTGCCTTTCAGAAGCAGAACCAAAGAGGTCGATGGTTTCTGCTCTGAAGATAAAAAAAAAAAAAAAATACGTTCAGAAAATTACAGCATAAGGTGCCAATACCCAATGAATTTTTAAGATTTCTTAGAATCATATTAAAGATAAAACACATTATAACCAGTAGAAAAATGAAGACTAGAAAAGAAAGAAATATCAATGGAACCAGAGAGCAATTCAGTTAAATTATTTTTAGATATAATGAGAAAATATTTAAAAATAGTAGAATAACTAATATTCGATACTCAGCCATTGGCACAAACACTCAGTTACTATCGAGCTTCATACATCATAGCTTTCAAAGTTGAAATAAGTAGATTTAAGAGAGAATATTTGCTCATAATATTTGTAAGAAATATCAAATGTTTTTTTTTTTTTTTTTGCTGTTTTCTTTTGAGTATGATTAATGCATTAATTAAACGAGTAAAAGGTAAAATTATTAAAGCATCCTTATTTATTTTTATCTTGATATATTGTGGCTTTCAAAACGATATCAAACTTAAAAATAAGTAGATTCTAGAAGGAATATGTGCTCATAATTTTAAAAGCATATCTAATGTTTTCATTTTTTTCTTTAAACTACGTTTACTGTTGTAATTAATGGAGTAGAATATAAAATTATTTTAGAATTCTTACTTATTTTTATGATGATATATTATAGCTTTCAAAACGATTTTAAACTTGAATAGATGTTAAAATAAGTTGATTAAAGAGGGAATATGTGCTCATAATTTTTATAAGGCATATATAAAGTTTTTAATATTTATGGGGACTACTTTTACTGTTTTAATTAGTGGGGAAAAATTATTTAGGCTTTCTTATTTTATTTCAAACTCTACCCTGCCTGATAGGCTATACACTGCTGCTTTAATTTTCAGTAACCCATAAAAAATACAATTATGTAATAAAATTATAAACTACAGTAATATTATTATTTTTCTTCTCTTACCAGATGGCCCCATAACGGCAAGGAGCTGTCCTGGTTTTACGAATCCCGAGACATCTTTGAGAATCGGCCTCTTGTCGATGTTGACCGTGAGTCCGGTGAAGATGAGCTCCAGAGGTCTTTGAGGAGGATGTACCTGGTTCTCCAGGCATGGTGTCTCTGTCCTGCAACATAAAAAAATATATATTATATAAAAAATTATATATTAAATTAACAATATTTTTAACTATTTTTTTTTTTAATTTCAGTTTAAAGACTTATATCTCTTTAATCACTGAAATATTTGAGTTACTTTGATTGATTTTTTTTAAAGAGTTGAATAAAAATATAAAGAATTCCTCGACAAAAACATCAATGTTTATAAATAATTAAAATTCCAATGGAGATATATTATTAAAAAAAAAATTATCAAATCTTTAAAACTTCGTTAGTGACTTTGTTTCATCGTCACATACAATTTTTTATTTTAGAAAATCCTCAGGAATCGGACATTTTCGAATTAAATTAATTAACTTAATGGGGTATAAAAAAATTATGAGTATCCATTTGCTTTCCTCTTCAACATGAGATAATTTGATCACAAAATCCAGAAAATAGATGGCCTACAATAATATAGGATCGCATGGTCTACACAACATCCTTATTTTGACTTGTAGCAAATGTGTGTTCATGCGTTTTTATTACCTCATTAAAATGACAAAATTCAGATTAAAAACGACCCATTTCCGAAAATTTTCGAAAATAAAAAAAATCACTGTTGACGATAACATTAAGCAATTCTCGAAGTTTTGGTCGGATATTAATAATTTGAAAAATGGGATACATACTGTGAAATAGAAGGCTATTATACGTCCGATTTATGTAATGAACCAAACAAAATAAATTGGTATAAAAATATTATAAAATTTCTTCCTTTATCCCAAGCAAACAAAAAAAAAAAATAATTAAGAGAGAATAAAGACAATCAAATTTAAAACTAATAAAACAATAATTAAAAAAATAGAAGAGAATATGTAATACTATACAATATTATTTTTACCTAAACAGTTCGTTGAAAATTAACATATCAGATCAAGAAATAGATATTTGATACACAAGAAAACAAAAATCAAGATTCTTCGAAGTAGTTTCTTCTGAAGCTGTCAAAACACGAATAATATTCTTAATCTTTTTACTCTCTTTTAAAGGGCTGAAATCATTATCCGGAAAATTTTGATAAGTCTTAACAAACTTGTTTAAAAAAAGGAGATTTTATATCGTATACCCTTGCCCTTGTAAATAACGTTTTACACGTTATCGAAGTAAACACACGCGGTTAAAATAAACTTGAACAATGATTTTGATTTCTAATGTTTATTTTTTACCCGTCTCAAAAAGATAGTATTAGGCCTACCTATTGTATCGATTGTTTCATAAGATAATAATTTATACTGTAAAATATTGTAGGAAAAGTATTAAAAAAAAAATAATAAAATCGCGTTACCATGGTAACACTTATAAACTGTATTGAATGTGACCTTGATTTCGAACAGCTGTGTTTTTTTAACATTAAATTTTCTTTTCTTATCTATTAACTCTCAAGATCAAATCATACGGGCCCTCAAATAATTTAAAAAGCAAACAAAAACCGTCTGCATTTATGTCAAAAAATATATACTATAAAGAAATTATTTTTTTTTTTAAAAAGGCAAAATTAATAAGTGGATTTAGCCTAAAAAAAGAAACAAAAGGTCAATATAAAACTCCGAAATATAAATTATTAATTTCAGTATTTTTTTTAAATTACCATAATTACTTCTAATGTTATTAAAAATTAAATAATAAGTAGTCCTATAAAGAAATTAATTTAAAATATTACAAATCAAGAAATAAGATTTAATTCATTTTAAGTAATAAAATATCAGAGTAATAATTATAAAAAATATAAAAATCATAAGATGTTTACATAGTCATGTATCCATAGCTCAAAACCATGATGTGTCTTGGCGTACTGCCTAGGAGGAGGGACCACTAGTGACTAAACGGCAGGACCAAGATATGGAACTGATAAGGGTTTTTATAGATACTGTCATTTTAATATAATTTTTGGTGGTGGAATGTATCCTACCGTCTACGCTTTGGTCAACACATCCCCACTCCACATTTTACATTCTTTAACCTCAAAAGACGAATGAGACATTTCACAGTTTTGAATTTGGACTCTCTCTCTCTCTCTCTCTCTATATATATATATATATATATATATATATATATATATATATTAAATGCAGATTTATTTAATTATTAAATATGTATCAAATAGAACGTTCAAAATTTATTAAATAAAGGATAAAAAACCAAAATTTTGATAACTACATGAAGAAAATAAAAAATAAACAAACTTTCTTTTTTTCGTAACCAGTCGAACTCGGGCCAAAGTAACGGATCCAACTCCCGAAAAATGTACCGTTACAAGAAATTCTTCCTAAACTAATTCATGAAGATGTAAATGAAAACTTTTTGGAATCGCCGTTCCCTATGAATATTTATACAGATGCAATGTTTTTCATTTCGATATTAGCATACGTCAATTTATATGGATTCCTCCGTATGTTGAGAAAAATCGTACGAATTCAAAATTTATTCTGAAATTAATGAATTAACACACACAAATCTAATGAATGAAATTTTAAAATTTCGAATTTGACCATTAAAATTTGATAGGGGAGTTGTATCGGTCGTTGCACTGGGGACCGTTATCAACCATGTTTGTTCTAAGGAAAACATTGCGAAGAGTCATTCTTATCTAAGATTCCTCATAACAATTATGGTGGCATGTTGGATTCGCTATGATCTATTGCCATAGTACGGTGAACCTGGCTTGGCAAACAGGTCATAAAACAGTCTCTAACGTGCGAAAAAGTTGCGCACTTCCAAATAAAGATAGGTTGTACAAATACAATTAAACTTGCCAAAAAAAAAGGAAAAAAATTAGTAAGATTTAAACTGCCCAAAAAAAAAAATTACTAAAAATAATTTATCACGTTCCATCAAACCCAGAAGACCGACACCATTGGCTCCGACTATGGTAAAATATTCTTTCTTCTTGAAGAACTTCATCTTCCTGGGATTTAATTTAATTTCAGTTACAGGATCTTTCCAGGACCATCTTTAACTGATTGAGAAGCAGCATTACGAAGAACAGTTTGTAGGTATATCACCAAGTATATTTGGGAAAATACCAATATTATTAGTAACATCAACAAATATATATATATATATATATATATATATATATATATATATATATATATAAGTGTATGTTTTATTGCTGATTTATTGTAAAATATGAAATAGGAAATAGTGATAAACAAAACCAAATAAAGAAAATGGTTTGTGTTCAAACTTGAAGCAAGTTAGAAAATTTAATATATAAAGTATAAAGTAAATATCTAGTAACATTGGAATATGGGATATATCTGTCACATACTCAATCCATGAAAAAATAATAATATCAATTATTTAGTTATTCATTATTAATTATTATTGACTATGTAATATTATTTCACATCATAAACACATTAGATTATTTTCTTAGAGCTCCACTTGATCAGTTTCACATACTGATACTTTTATTTATTCTTTAATATATTTACAAAAAAATGTCTCCATTATATAAAAAAGTTTTTAGTGATGACCGTGCAATATTCTATTTTATTATTATTATTTATTTATTATTATTAAAATTTATTATTATTATTTATTTATTTATCATTATTAAAATTTATTATTTTATTGTTATAAGGACAGAATTTAACGAACACACTTCTTATTCTCAGAATTATTTCTCACTCATTGTGGTTAAAAGTTGGCAATAAGAATAATTATAATTATATGATAACATAAATTTTCAATAAGGCGTGATGTATAATTTAGATTTTTAATGCAATTAAAAACCTGTCCGAACTGTGGTTTCGTTCCGTTTATTTTATGTTGATAAAAAATAATACTATCCCAACTACCGAATACATGTAAATTTCAGATAAACAATTAGAGTATAATTAATTGAACAGTTGTATAATTTCGTTACCAAAATTTAAAAACCGTTAAAGCTGATAAAAAGTCAAATCAACAAATTTTAAATATATCTTTCTATCTTATAGGTAGAAACAAAATATTAAAAAACAAAACAAATATTGATGCATTGGAAAAATAATAATTTATTTATTTATTTTATCAATATTTAAGAAAAATGCAATAATAATTTAAAAACATATAAGTATAATTAATTAAATACTGTGATAATAAGTTAAATAAATAATTATCAAGAAACGTTGCTTCACCTTGATAACAAAGACTTTGACGAAAACGAGACAATTTAATCTACAGTAAATTTGCCGTAGATAAAAATGTTATCTGCCGAAAAATTGTTGATTTTATTTTTATAGTAGAATGCTGTCAAAACCTATGGGACAAAATATTATATAGCCTTTTGTTCAAGACAAAAATTAAACCAATCAACGCGTGAGGTTTTATTTTATTTGGCCATTCTTGATAATTCTTCTTATGCACGACCAGAATTTTACTTGGTTTTGATGTTTAATCATCTCATGGATTTATGTTTCGTACTTTTCTAACACTGGAGGAATAATATACATTTTACAAAATTCTTTTTTAAAAATTCAAAACGATAGAAAATTTTATTTTATTTTTTATGATACAACACTATTTGAAAATTAGTTTCAAAGCCGCATGATAAAATAAGAAGTGAAAGAGATTTATAGAACGAAACGTTGAGAGCTATATATTTTTACGATTTCGCTGACATGGCCTTCGCATTAAAAAGAACAATAAAAATAAAAATCGAAAAACCATAAATTGAGAACTTTCACTGGTATAAAATGTTATTATTTTTTTTTAAAACACAATATAAACAACGTTCAATAAACTGTTATGAGTAACAGCTTCATTTTTAAATAATGAATATATAACTATTTTTGTAAGATAAAAACATGTTAGTTTCATTATTTAGTTACCTCTACTTACCTCATGAGATAAATAGAGTTTCTTTATTTTTGTTTGATATTTAAATATTTATTAAAACATGTTAATAGTTAGTTTACTGAGGTGCATACAAAGATAAACATTCAGAAATGTTTGACTGAAATGTCAACTTTACACGTGT